TTTTTCCCGAAGTACACCGGTCAAATTCGGACCGATCAAATACCCACTTGCTGACGATTAAAGTCTCCCTTTCCAGAATTTTCAAGATTGACCGGTCAACTATTTGGTCTTCTCCTTTGACCGGTCATGGGTGGAATACACCCATCAACAAGGATGAATGGAACCATGTAATAGTTTGACCGGTATACTTTTCTAAAGTATACCGGTCATCTTTTGACCGATTTGAGTGTCCTCTGGCTGATGATTAAAGTCCTTCTCCTTAACTTTCAAGATTGACCGGTCAACTATCTGGTCTCTTCCTTTGACCGGTCATGGGTGGAATACACCCATCAGATGAGAATGAGGAACTCAATCTCAAGTATGATTTTGTAAAGTATTACACTCATGCCCACATATTGTTTCATACGGAGTAGAATTTTTTGAAATGAATTTTTAATGTATAAACTTATTTGTGTATATATTTTATTATGCTATGCACATATTTGAATAATTAAATTTAGATCAAAATAACTTTGATCAAATATTGTAAGGTAGTGTCTTTAAGAGGATATGCCTCAAATCTATTTCAAATTTTTTAGTTTTTTTGAAATGGAATTTTTTCAAATTTGAATTTAAAATCCAAATTCAACTTCTCAAAAAAATACTCCTATTGTCCTGAACTAATAATCGTCTTACTTTCTTTAATTTCATAGTTCGTCTGAAAATATAATTGTCCTACTTTGATTTCGTACATACCTTATAAAGTAAAGAATATGTAGTCGACAATCATTCTCTTCCAAATAATTTTCAACCATTCAAATTTTTTCTAACACTTTTCTTAAACCACGTGAAGTCAATTAAACTAAGAAGATTAATTCGTGTGGAAGGGAAAATACCGTAAACGTTTTTTTTTTGAAAAAAACCATAAAAGCATTTAATTTGTGTAAAAATGTGAAAGTGTTGCACTAACAAAGCCTTACTCATATACTGTTTCACACAAAATGAACTACACTTTATGTACAACGAAATAAATTCGGAGTTTTTTCAATTTATTTTATTTAAAGATTAGTAAAAAAAACTTACATATATAAAAAATACATCTAAAATTTTACAAAATAAGACGTGATAAACATATACTCCGTATTTTTTTACAAAATAATTAATGAAACCATCTAAATAAATAAATTTTTTTTGTGATTTTTGATGTGTGGGCACTAGTTTGCATCATGGATCACTGCCTTAACCAAGCCCTACGCTGGCCGTACATGCTTCGCGTGCGAAGAGGCCTGGCCTGCGGGATTTTCGTGCTTGGGAGAGAGGGCGGATACATAACGTATACTAATAAATTAACGTATACTAATAAATTAAATCTTACAAATAAATTACTCACCACATCCCCACGCGGATGTAATACCAAAATTCAAGTGAAAATTATTCTCGGTCTTGTTTGACATCAGCGTTAGAGATTAACGTTAGCGTTTTGATAACCTTTAGCGTTTTCTAAATTAATCTACACCGTTAATATTTTATCCAAAACGCCAACGCTAAATGAACACGCTCTTCCCAAACAAAGCCCAATATGGGAGTAAAATTTGAAATGAGAAAACCCCGAACTCTTTGGAAATAGAATGATTTACCCTTGAACATTAAAAGGTGCATCGTTTACCCTCAAATTCTTTGAAAATTGCACGATTTATCCTTGAATATTAAAAAATGCACCAAATATCCTGAATAATTTAAAACATTGCACCATTGGTCATAAAATGCTAGACAGGGAGTACATTAATCCCATGTACGCGAATTGCGAATATGATTCATCTGGCCCTTGTGAATTTTCCAAAGTACCTCTCTCCAAAATTATCATCTTTATTTAAATATTCAGGGGTTAACCGTGCAATTTCCGAAGAGTTCGGGTGCACTTTTTAATGTTCAGTGGCAAACCGTGTAATTTTTAAAGAATTCAGGAGTATTTTGTGCAGTTTTTCAAGTTCAGAGGTAAACCGTGCACTTTTCTCAATTTGAAATGAAATTCTTTTTTAAAAAAATTATATCAACTAATCTAAGGCCCCGTTAGGCAAGAGTTTTAAAGTTTTGCGTTAGCGTTTTGAAATAGTGACCTAATCAAACGGTAGTTTTAAACGTAAGCGTATTCAAATTTAATCTACATCATTAAAATTTTATTTAAAACACTAACGGTAATAAAAAAACGTCTACCTAAAAACCAACATGTCATATGACTATACTGTGTTTGGCCTCTAATTTTTCCTAATTTGATTTGACACATTTTTTAATAAAATGAAATTTGTGCGATCATGATTTGTATAAGGAAAGGAAAATAATATCGATCATACATCATTTTCTTCTAACAATAAACTAAAAATATTTTCTGGAACAAGTTGACCAGAGAATTAAAAGAGAATTATGAGATAGAAGTAAATAACAAACAAGAAAATAAAATATGGTCAGTGGACAATTTATTCCTTCAGAAAAAAAGAGAAAGAGTGGAGAATTAATAACATCAGTTTCGGACAGAAATATTTAATTATTGATCTTATTTCCTTAGGATGTAGATAGGGGTCCTAAAAATAGAAGAAAAACATGTGGACATGTGGTCTTATCAAGGTAGAGTGGCTAATGACACAATTAGCAACCCCGTAATCCGTATGTGGTTGTACTTGCGATTCCTTATTTTCAAAAAATTATCTCTTTATTTATCCTTTTTTGAGTACACTTAACTATTTTCACTATAATTAGCTAAAAATGATACTCCCTTCGTTCCAAAAAGATTTACGCCTTTCAAAAAAATTGCGTCCTAGAATCTTCTACTCATTTCTATTAAAAACCACTTTTACTCCTTACTTTTTCAAACCCTACCTATCATATCATACCTTTTTCCTAATAATCTATACATCACATCCTACTTTTACCCATCACATCAAGGGTATTTTGGAAAGTCAACACAAAATTATCCCTCCCTTAATTTCAACTTTAGTCAAAACGTGTAAATCTTTTTGGGACGGAGGTAGTATGATATAATTTTTAGATAAAAAAAATTTGAAAATATTTTATAAAATAAATCTAATAGAATTATATTTCTATCAATATCTAATATTGATTTTATTTAATTAATGATCAAAATTTTTAAATTTGACTGCAAAAAACAAAACTGTACAAATATTCAAAGACGGAGATAATACACTCTCCATCTCATTATTATACTCGAATGAGAAATTACTTAAGTATAATTCTGATTCTATCCAAAAAGATTATCACAGTTTGACTATTTCTGGTCAAACTATGCATCATTATAACCACAAATTATATACTACCTCCGTCCCATTTTATAATGCCTGTTTCGGTTTACGATGTTTGACTGAAATTATTTTCAAATCATTTTATATGAAAAATGGTATAGAATTAAAAAATAAAAATTACTCCCTCCGTCCCAAAAAGTCTTTCCTGTTTCATTTTTTGCGCATCCCATAAAACACTTCTAACGATATCTAAAATACCTAAAATTTACAAAATTTCTTCTTTATTATGGGTAGAAGTTATTTTGAAAGTTTTTTTGGTAATCAAGACGGGATAGAAGTGTTTTATGAGATGCGCAAAAAATGAAACAGGAAAGACTTTTTGGGACGGAGGGAGTACATATTAAAAAACTACATCAAAAGATCTACAAAACTAGCAGTGACAATAATATTTTATTTTATCAAATTGCTAACGAAAATAGAGAAAGAAAGTGAATGAAGTTTGACCCTGTGAATAGTAAACAGACATTATAATTTGGGACAGAGAGAATATAATTTTAAATGATTAAATGTTATGAAATTCAATATATCAAAATTATATTTAAAAAAGAATTCAATTTTATTAAGTTAACGTTAAAACGAAATATACTCTGTCCACAATTTGTAAAATATAAATTGAGAAATGGCTTTGTAAACACATACTCAAATTTGATATGAAAGCGAAAAAAAACAAGAAAATGGAATATGATGGGGGCGATTTGATGATGACAAAGATGCCTTCACATTATTGTAAGGCCTACGTCGTACGTGAACAAGACAGGCTGTGTACACATGAAACAACTTAGAATTTAATTTTGTACCGATTCATTAAATTAACGCCTAATATGACATTGCACTGTACTAAACCACCAGATATTGATGAGCTCGCTAATGGTGATGATGATGAAGAAGAAGATGATGATCATCAGCATCATCAGTTCCGAAATGGGTGCCCAAATCCATGGCGCCTGCTGATGAACCCATGGAAGATGCAAACTTGGCAAGCTCCTCATCGTCCATAAATGGCCGCCCCCCTTCGTTCCCCATCCCCAAGAAATCCCTCGTCAAGTTGACGCCGGCGCTCAATAACGACGACACCCCGCCGCCGTGGTGGTGTTGGCGGCGGCCTTGCATCAAGCACGGCGACGAGTGCTCCGCCCCGCTCTCATTCCCGCGGATGAAGCCCGGCAAGTTGTTGTTCGACGAGGACGACGAGGCGGAGGTCATGAGCCCGAATCCGTTCCCGAAGAACGCCGGGTTGCTCTTCGTTGACCCGATCTGGGCCGCTCTCTGGAGGAGAGCCGTGGCCGACATAGGGGCCCGCGAAGAGTACATCGAGTTCAACGTTTCCGCCACCATCTCTCCTCCCCCTCCACCGCCCTGATCGTGTTGCCGGGGGAGAGAAGCCAACGACAGATTCGCGGTCCCGAAATTCTCAATCGAAGATGGCGGTGGGGGGTACATGATGGTGGCCGGAGAATCATCCATGTGCAACATATCCGGCAGCCCGCCGGAGCTAATCCCCCCGAAAATTTTTCCAGACATCTGATGAAGATCCGGACCGGTAAGGTGGTGGTGGTGGTGGTGAGAATTATTATTATTACTATTATTATTATTCACCGCATTGTCTAGCCACAGAGACGGCCTTGGCGGTTTCTGGGGGAAATCCGGCTGGAATCTGGCCGGAAAGTGTGGGATTCCGGGGGGCAAATTCAGGAAACTCTCATTGCCATTTCTGAAGCTCATAGAATTTGCAGCGACAGAAGTGATCCTTGCACTCTCTTCCGCCAAAGCATCACAGAAAGCTCTATGTGTAATAAAGCTATCTTTCCTGATATATATATATATATATATATATATATATAGACAGATCAACACACCAAAATTCAGCACATTTATTGCACCAAACACACACAAACATATAATATTCAAAAAAAATTAAAAAAAAAAAGAAGCCATTAAATTCCCATCATCAGAATTAGCCCAGAAAAACAAACATCCTCACATACAAGAATTTAATTAATGAAGGGGGGGACCTGGAAAACAGTGTGCCACAATCACATTTGTACTCTCTGGTGCCACAAGTCTTGGAATGGGCCTTCCAGTCGGAGTGAACGGCGTACTTCTTGGAGCACTTGTCGCACTTCCACTTCTTCTCGCCGTGCTTGCGGCTGAAGTGTTTCTTGATGCCGGTGAGGTCGCCCAGGGCGCGGGAGGGCTCGTGGTGGACGCAGCTCTTCTCGGGGCATATGTACACCTTCCTCCTCACCACCTCCGGCGGCCTCGCCCTCTGCTTCAGCTTCCACGGCAGATTGTGGCCCCTCCGGTGGAGCTGCAGGTTCTGGTCCCTCTGGAACCCTTTGTTGCAGATTTCGCACACGAATCTGTTTGTCGCCATCAGACTCTTCGGGGACAGCGCTATCACCTCCGCATCTGGATCTGCATCCCATCCCATTCATTCATCACTTAACCAAACTCTTCCTAATAAATTAAAGAGAAGAAATATAGTACCTGGAGTGCCTGGGAGATTTCTTCTCCTCTTGGATGGAGGATTGGGCTTAGGGTTTGGGTCTTGAGGATCGGGAAGAAGAATGGGTTTGAGACAAGAAGGGATAGAGAAGACATCCCCAGACATCATTGTTTTTCTCTGCAGGAAGATCTATCAGATGATGATGATGATGATGATGAAGAAAAAAAGGTTGCTTTTTTTTTTCTTTCTGTGCTGTTATTGTTGTAAATCAAAGAAAGGACTTAATTAAATTAAATGAGCTCAAAATAAAGATCTTTTTTTATTAATAATTTAAAAAAAAAGAAGGGGAAATCTGGGAATTGAAGTAAGAAGAAGAAGAAGAAGTTGAATGGGGGAAGAAGGAGGAGGAGGCAAAAGGGGGTTTGAAGAATCCAAAAGATCAGAGAAGAGAGAAAAAGAAATTAAAGGGAAGGGAGGGATTGTTTGAGCTTTTAGAGCAGAAAACACCAAAAGGAAAACATGAAAGGTGAAGAAGAATATTTCCTCTTCTTCTTTTTTTTTTATAAAAATAATTTTAATTTTATCTGCAACAACCAGCAGGCAGCAGGGCAGGGCAGGCCAGCACACACACTACTGCACCACCATTCTTCGATCTTCTCCTTCTTCTTCTTCTCTCTCTTGCAAGCTTCATCTTCCACGTCTTTTCACCTTTATCATTTCAAAGTCGGCCAGCCATTTCTTTAAGCCCTCTTCCCCTCTCTCTCTCTCTCATCTAAATATATACATACCCTCTCTATCTTTGAAAGAATCTCATAATTTGACTTCATAGAATTTTAAGCAATTTTTTTTTGAAAAGTGGGTTAAAGTTTAAAAATAAGTGTGGAGTTAAAATTTATTTGAAAGGGAATAAATTAATCATATCCACATATTGGTTTAATTTCTAATACTATAGTTGGTTCAAGGAATTTGAGAGGAAAAATGAGATTTTAAAAAAAAATTCATGTTTGGATAGAGAAGAAAAAGAAACCAAAAGTAGAAGGAAAAGAAAATAATAAGAAAATAAAATAGGCTAAAAAGAGGGGAAACTAGAGCTCTTCTATTTTGGCTAAAAAAATGAGGCAAATTATTTTCTTTTCTTTTTCTTCCAAATATTTTTAAAACAAGCATAGAGTAAAATACTCCCTCATTCCCAAAAAGGATGCAAAAGTTATTATTTTGGTCTCTCGATAACTTTTACTCCGTATTTATTTACTTGTTTTGGTTGACTATTTGATAAAATAAAATATTTTTGTCATATCTCGTTCTGTAATAATCTTGATGTACTTTTGAACACATAATTTTTACTTTTTATTTCACTACCAATTGGAAAATAAAATGATTTTAAAAGAGATGATATTTTACATGTCGTACAAAATGTTGCAAACAATTTGGGACAGAGACAGTAGAAAGTAGAAAATTGTAAATATAGTTTTAGATCTCTAAAAAAGAAAAAAGGATAAAATTCTTTTTTGACAAAGCAAATACTTTTTTCAGGAACGCAACTTAATTGGTCAATAGATGGTGCAAAAATAGTAATACCAATTAGGGGTGAGCAAGTACCGAACCGATACCGAAATTTCCCGAAAAAACCGAGAATACCGAACCGAAAAAGTACCGAGAAGAAACCGAACCGTACCGAACCGAATGGTCGGTACGGTATTTGGGAACGGTACGAGGTGACGTACCATACCGAAAATCCCGAACCGAACATATATACTAAAATATTATAAAAAATAATAACCCGGAGTAATATTTTTCATATTCCTTCACTAAATAATACGGAGTAATTTTTAAAAAAAAATTGGTTGAAGTTTTATCATGTGTAAGTTATACTTTTATTTGAGTTTTAGTTTTTGTGTATAAATATAAAAGTATTCACAAAGATTCGAAAAACTCTTTGTTGTCGTTCATTTTTTTAGTTTGTGAAATATAAACTATGTTTTGATATGCATCCCTTGCATTTAAATATTCATTTTTTTAATTTTTCACGTTTTTTTATTTAAATTCACTTTTAATTTTCAAAAATAAAGGAACATTGTTAAACTTTAAGGTGTAAAGTAGGTATGTATATTCATCCCGATTTGTACCGAAACCGATACCGAACCATACCGAACCGATATGTCGGGATCGGTACGGTGTAAAATCCCATACCGAACCGAAATATTGGTACGGTATCGGTACGGGCTAAATACCGTACCATGCTCACCCCTAATACCAATTTCGAACTTTGGCAACGTAACCACGATGAAAGATAGTTATGCATAGTATGGAGACATTGGATATACTGAGACAAATTTCACATTTTATTTGATTTTATTAAAATTCAATTTACTTTCTTCTAATTTACTTAGTAAAGACACTAGAATTGGCTTAGTTAATTAGTGTAATTTTCTCTAGATACACATTCTTCGTTTTGAAATAATGTCCCACACATAGTTTAATTTTAAATAAAAGTAAGTTTATTTATCCTTCTATCTCGTAAAAAGTTTATTACTGGACTTTCGCGTGGGTATTTCAAAATTTGTTGAAGATAAAAAAAACATGTTGTCCAATTTGTCTATTCCATCATCTCCGATAGAGCCAAAATTTCACTATTTTTTGACTTTGTAGTGTGATGGAATAAATCAAAATGGATCTCTAAACTATCTGCGCTTCTTTAATTAATGAAGTAGCAGTTAGTCAAGCAATGCAACTTTCGACGTTGAGCCGGGGGTCTCTTTGGAAACAGCCTCTTTACTTTCGAGTAGGGCTGAGGTCTACTTTCGAGTAGGGCTAAGGTCTGCGTACACACACCCTCCCCAGACCCTACTCTTGTGGGATTTAACTAGGTTGTTGTTGTTATTGTTGGTCCAATTTGTATCGTAGTAAAATTTGAGCGACATATACCCAATTATGTTTTTCTACTCGTAATTCATTATGATATTAGAAAATGTGCTAATTTATTATGCTATTAAAAAAAGGTAATTTTATGATATAAAAGGATTCAGAGCTATCCAAAAATCCCATAAAGGGTGAGGAGGCTCCTTGTGCACGGTGGGCACGGGTCTAGCGTTCTTGGCCGACTGAGTCACCATGATTTACATCCTCCACCATCCCTGTCGGGCAAGGGGGTGGGGGCGCCTGGGGTGGGCGATTCCACCTTTTTGGACCGGTGTATAGAATAGAAATTGTTTATATAAATCATATAATGAAATTTTGAATAATTGTTGATTGAAGAGAGGGGGGGGGGGGTAGGGTGTATATAATTTCTTTATTTTTAAATAGATATATATGATTTGATTTGATTTGTTTTTTTTTTTAAAAAAGAAGTTTTAATCTCTACATGTACATAGACATTGGCTGTATGCTGCTTGGAATGGGTGGTAGAGCAGTGTGTCATTTGTAGTCTTTCGAGCTTATATTCCATTTATCAATGCTACTCTTACATAAATTTATTCATTTTTTTGGCACCACATTCCTATTTTGGTCCGCATTATTCTAATCCTAAATAAGACTCGAATTTACTTGTCCATTCTTTTTCAATTATCTATTTTTATTTTTCGTATCATTTTTTACTATATATAAAAATAAACTAGGGTGTAATTAACTAAAATACAAAAATTACATCATAGGATACTACTTCATCCGTCCCTTTAAATATGCTTTGATTTTGAAGATTTAAGGGGAGTGTATTTTGATATTGAATTTACAAAAATGTCTTATGATGTGATGTGTAAAAATAGGATTCGATGAGTAGATTATTAGTAAAAAGGTTTGATGTGATAGGTAGAGTTTGAAAAAGTAAGGGTAAAGTGACTATTTAATAGAAATACGAAGTGTTTTTTGGAACGAATGAAAAAAGAAAGGAGAAAGATTTTCAGTGACGGAGTGAGTAATATACATTGTCAAAAAATTCTTTTTCCTTTTATCAAATACTATCCACTTATTTTTCATTTTCAGCACGTTAACACGAACGGATTATTATTTTTAGCAATTTTCTATAAACCTTTTGCTTTCTAAAAGTGATTTTTTATTTTTATTTTTTTATTTTTTTAGAACTGATTTTATTTATTGAATTTTAAGTATTCAATTGCACAAATGTATTACAACTACTAATGTTTAATATGTAAGATACACTCAATATGTCAAAGACCATTGTTTTTAATTTTTTAACAAACTTTGAATAAAATGTATCCTCTATTTGTCTTGCAAAAAAACTAGTTCTTAATGTTTTTAAAAAGAAAGCATTTTATGATTTTTTAAAAACTATTCATCATTTTCCCTCTTACTATATATTTTTCAAAAATAAAGATACACACACACACACATGATCGACTCTAGTCAGATGACATATTTCGATCAGATGACGCAAAGCTCACCACTGCCAACTGCAAAACTCACCTTGATTTAAAACGAAGCTCACCATTCTGAACACAAAAGCTCACCATTTTTTTAAACTTCAAATATTAAAAATTTAATTAAAATAAATTAGGGACACCGGTCAACCACCGATCAACGGTGGCAGTAACCGGCGGCGGGCGGCGGTCAACAGCGGCAGTCATCGGTCAAAGTCCAGTCAACATTGGTCAAAAGTCCACTCTTTTGATGAATTCTTTTTTAAAATGCTAATACTAATCTGTAACGCTATTTTCAAACATTGCCTATATGCCTTACTTTTGTATACGACCAAAGATGAATAAATTTTTAAATGATGTATACCAATATCCATTCAACTTTAATATATCTCACAATTGTTCTCAAAAAAAAAATCCTCCTATATACAATGGTAGGAGGACCTTAGGAATAGTGTTCCCGCCATTTTTTCCACCATCAATTGGGCCGGACCTTGCTGCTGGACATGGGCCGAGATTTGAACTGGATTGGGCATGCTGCTGACAATTTATTGGGTTGCATTTGACGGCTTGGTGCGGAGCTCCATAAAGCAATGTAATAATGGTTTATGTGGAAGTGTGTCATATCAATGTTTTACATCTTATCAATTTAATAGTTAGATTTACAAAATCCAAGCATTTAATGTGCTTAAACTTTTTTTCTTTTTCCAAATAATATATATACACCTCTTTCCATCCAAACCTACACCACTTCACTATATTGGCATTAACATATAAGTTTCATATATACCAAAAATATGGCTCAAAATTCCGAAAAGAGGTCCATGACAATGTTCACTCCAATTGCAGAACTCAACAGCGATAAGAATTCTTGGATTCTCATGTCGAGGGCTATTCGGGTTTACTTCGTTCCTAAGTGGGCGAAAGGTGGAGATTCCATGGAGATCGTCTTTCACGATGAGCATGTAATGTATTCTACAAGTTATTACATTTGTTTTTTTTTCAACCCAAAATTCATAATCTCATTTTGTATACTTTTTTTAGGGAACTAGGATTCACGCACATCTTGCTCAGGAGGAGAAAGAGAAGTTTGAAAAGCAAATCATTGAGGCTGGTGTTTACGCCATTCGAAATGTTTTTTCCCATGACAATTACCAAAGATTGAAAACTGCTAGCAACGATAAGCTCTTGGGTTTTTTCAAAAAGACCGAAGTGAAAACTTTAAATCGGAGTAATTTCC